CTGGACAGGTCGCCAGTCTGCTGCAGGGCAACACAGAGACAGACAGGACAAACAACCATGCACACACACACTCACACCTAGGGAGAATTTAGAGAGGCCAATTAACCTGACAGTCATGTTTTTGGACTGTGGGAGGAAGCCGGAGAACCCAGAGAGAACCTACCATGCACAGGGAGAACATGCAAACTCCAAGCAGAAAGACCGCAGGCTGGGAATCGAACCCAGAACCTTCTTGGGAGGGAAGGAAACAGTTGACTTTCACACACACATAATATGTTAACAATTATTTAATAATAATAACATGACAAACTGCAGTTCCCACCATCACCCCTAGAACAGCTATAAAAAGCACATCCATCTAGGAAATGCATGGTGTAAAATTAAACAGTCTTTCCAAATTAATGTAGCACAAAACCAAAAGCTGATATTAGAAAACAAAACTTTTTTTTTTAATCCAACACATCATGCTGGACTGTACATAACTTCCCAGAAGGTGGCAGTAAAATAAATATTTGACACTTAAACTTTACAAATGGCAAAATAAAGATTAAGGCAAAGAAATTGGATGAAAATGATGTGTTTTACTCTAATTTTATTTCACTTTGCCTTCACTGCCCTCAATGGGAAACTCAGTGAACGGTGCTGGAGGAGACCGATTGGTGGTGTCTCATTTACTCCACTAGCAAATACAAGAATGTTTTGAAGCTTGGGTGATCCTCTATCATAAAACAGTTTTTTTTCATCAATTAATATACCAAATATTCATAATAATACAATAATTAAATGAACGTGTATCATGTGGACATAACTGGGGAAAACTGCAAAGATTTTCTTTCTAAGTTGAAATTAGAACTAATGTAACTGAATAATCAATGTAACCAGCAGTAGGCCAGCCATGTTGTATGATAATAAGCGACTGTGTAGTATTACTCAGACGAAGAGAGTTAACATTCTGACCAGCATTAATATGAAATGTAAAAAGTGTTGGGATAAAGTGCAGATACTAGAGGAACATCCTTTGTAGCTTCAAAACAGAGACAGAGATTTATGCTAACAACAAAAGAACCTTAAAGGCCTGTATAGTCTTTATTGAGGACTGTGACAAAAAAACCTTTCTCACTCATCTTTGTCCTGATTAGAATAGTGTTGAGCCAAAACCATTTTAAAATTTTCAGAACCTGAAAAGAAAAGTCTGTTTTGTTCTGTGCTGTCCTGAAAATGTAAAGTAGCACACAAACACAAACAACTGTCCAAATGTTGACACATTTAAGACCACACTGCCTGCTTCAGTTCATTTTAAGAATCAAATAATCTACTTATGCTTTTTTGTATGAAATAAGCTTCAACAGGTCAGGTCAGTAAGATATAAAAACAACAGATATCGTTTTTCTTTCCTGCCAGGTTTCAATGTAATGATTAACTGCTTTTCTCTGGGCGCGCACTTGGTCATAGGTCAAGTTTCATAGTGTTTGAAACTGAGGACAGCACTTTCACAGACTTGTTTCTAAGTTGTGTAATGTTGACTAAGCAATATTTCAGAATCACATGGAGGGGAGGTTAGTGGTTTGATAAGAAAATCTAAATGTTGGGGGCCCAAGTAGTCTACAATACATTCTAATTCATTGTTATCCTAATTAAGAATGATTATTACTTTAATATTAGTGATAATTGAAAAACATTGAGTCATAAAGAAATATTCAAAATCAGTCAGACCTTTGAATTTGGTATTGTAACTATGAGTTAACCTGTTTTAAGCAGAGCCCATTGAACTGTTATCGATATAAGCTGATATGCAAACTGCCAGCAGAGATAAGTAGGTCATGATAACCTGCTGCAAATGGTTTCCACAACACAGCATGTATCTGTAACACATAGAACAGCATATCTAAAAGGTTTCTGTGCATCTGTCTGAACATTCACAGCTCATTCATCATCAGGCAGATCAGCAGCTGCAGAGCAGAGAATGTTTGTCTGACTGAGTTTGGGCTGATTGACATGAGGTTTCCTCACTGACCAAAGGTCTGTACAGTGTGTACAGAGCAGAACGGCACAAAAACACCAACGAGGAGACGAGGAGTGACAAGGAAAAGAATCGTCTGTGATGTCAACTATCATTGCAGAGAAGCAGGAATAAGATGGAGGGAACTTTGTCCATTCTGAATATTTAATATGAAAAATGAAAAAATCAAAAATGGAGACAGAGATCTATGCTAACAATAAGAGCATAAACATGGCCAGAAGGATGCCGGCTTCAGCCAGCACACTTTTTATGATCAACTGACAGACGCCATGTTGTCCTGTTTGATACAGCCTATCGACTCACAGGATGTGCCAGAACATATCAGAATACATTAAAATCACTTTCTGAAAACACGCAATTCAGAGAAAATAACAAATACATTCATAGCACATTAAAAAGTACAGCTTTCAATTATAGTGTTGTGGATTTCAGAACTTTGTTAAAATGATGCAGCAGCATCATGAGACCTAAGTTCACACAAAGATCAAAAAGTGTTAAAAATATGAAAAACAAGATTAATAGCAATAATCACAAAATTATCTACAAGATTATGACAAAAATTACTGTCAGTTATCAAAACTAAAAGTGTTACATTCACAGTTAAGGAGATCTGCAACTGAAGAGAATGACTTTTTAAATGTACATAATGTGCATGTGTTGTAGGCTGTTTACAATATGGACTATTAGTGCAGGGAAGAAAACACAAGATATGCAATAACACAATAAAAGCTGTAGCCACTATCCTACCTGCACACAGTTGTCACTATCAACAATGACTGTTAGACACAATTTGAATTGTTTGAGTTACAGCATTTATATTTTCTTTGGGTTATTCATGTAATTTGGTTTAATTTGATTTCAGCTGGAAGTTGTTTTGGGGGTATGTACCCACATTACCAGCTTTGAATTTCTGGAGACTGATGTTTTTATCCATTCTTCTTAGCAAATTAGGAGGAACTCAGCCAGGCTGTCAGAGTATCAGTATTCAAGCCTTGCCACAGATTCTTATGTAGATTTATGTCTAGACTTTGACTAGTCCATCCTTAAAAATATGGAATGACCTAAACCATTTAATTGTTGCTCTTTCTGTAAGGTTAGAGCTGTTGTTCTACTTGAAGTTGAAACTTCAACCTACAGTTTTGTGAATAGACCTATATTTACATGTGAAAAACTTTATGTTTTGGTATTAGCACTCATCTTATACAGTATCAGATGGAGGGAAAACTGAGTTCTGGCTTTGGTTTCCACTTTCAAAATAAATGAAGGTTTATATCTATATATTCTTTAAAATATATATACAATAGACTACTATTGTATATACATTTAAGCTGGGGTTTTATGAAGCACAAACCTTTTAATTAAAGCTTTATAAAAAAAAGCACCACAACAAGTCAGTGCTGATGGGCAGCCTTAGTGCTGCTAAGAACCTGAGACAGCTCATATTGAAGGAGGAAGGGTTAAAACAATAGTTTTGTTTGGTACTTGTGAGAACTTTGTCAGAAAAGTTACATTTGATGATTGCACTACATTATATTATTTACCTAAGCAAAGTTATAAATCTCTATTAGTGCAATGTTGCTTTGATATTGTCTAACAAGCAGAGAAACAACATTTATGGAATCATAATATTTAGATATTATGATTCATCTTTAATGACGGGTTAAAACATTCAAGCTATGAAGTAAAACTGAGCATAACCATATTCAAGAAAACACAAATAATCAGACATATGAATGTTTCAGGTCATTTTATTATCACCTGCAATCCAATTATTGCGCAGACTTGCTTTTGTGTGAGTTTTGCATATGAAAAATATACTGACATTTTTAAGTCATACTTCATAGCTTAAATTACTCTCAACAGAAATCATAATTTAGCATTGTAAAAAATAATTATCAATAAATTCAATTTCTTGAAAGCAATAATAATACTCAAAATACATTGTATTCACAGAAACTGTTGCAGCAGTGACAGAACACTGCATATTACACAGCTCACTCACATTATTACATTAACATTCATCTTAGTCATTTCTGCAGGACTGACATTAGTCCAAATATACACTGCTCAAAAAAATAAAGGGAACACTCAAATAACACATCCTAGATCTGAATGAATGAAATATTCTCATTGAATACTTTGTTCTGTACAAAGTTGAATGTGCTGACAACAAAATCACACAAAAATCATCAATGGAAATCAAATTTATTAACCAATGGAGGCCTGGATTTGGAGCCACACACAAAATTAAAGTGAAATGTTCCCTTTATTTTTTTGAGCAGTATATATTTATAAGTATGAAGAATAGAGACAGTCAAGTTTTTGGGAAAAGTTGTTCAAATTGTAGATATGGAATGTGATTGAATTAAAATGAACACATTATTAAAATGCTCTACAAACTGTAGGAATGTGAGTTTAACAAGGTTGATTATATGAGTGGAGCAGTTAAAATGTTATGACTTCTGCCTTTAAAGCTTCGCTGTAGCAAAGAACTGAGTAGGTTTTTAGAGATTGGTCCAAAAAATGTGGAGGATCTCAGCCAGTAGAACCCACATCAGAATGAATGAACTTGGTTCTTTTGAGACGTTATCAGTAGGTAACATCTTACCTGCTTTGCCTAACTCTTTCAACGCCTTAATTTTGTATTAGTATCCAGTGTGTGATGATAAATCAAGCTCTTGAGACAACATGTGATATTGGGTTCACATGAACAAAAAACAAACAAAAAAAACAAAACAAACATCCTTTTCCCCTTACTATTATAAGATTTTCACAAATCAGGAACCTAGCTTGAAGAATGTGTAACAAGTGTGAAATAATAGTTCAGACTTTTCTAGAGTTTTGTATCTATTTCTATGTTGTTCTAAGTCTAAGAAAACTTAGAAACACACAGTCTTATGTTTTCAGAAAAATAGGGGATTTTATTATCTCAAATTGTGTTTTAAAGAGTCACTTTTAGGGATGAATCCTAAAAACATATTGACTTTGCAATATTCTTGGTAAATATTGTAATATTTTTTCTGATTTTTTTTTTTTCATTTGTGCTTTCAGTGCACAAATGAACAGTGGCTTTTTACATCTGGTCTCTGTTTTGAACAGCTACTGCTAATTAACATTATTAGTGGCTGATGGTTACCCAGTCACAACAGGCTCACAACAGTTATACATAAAGTGTCTTATTTTCTTATTTCCATTTTAAACTCATCACATCATCATCACTTATACCTCAAAGAGAACTGAAAAGTGTGGGAGGCTTCCTAGTAAACACAGTCTTTGTTAGCCAGCTCTGCTATACAACTGGACAACAACTTCCAATTTTATTTGAAAATAAGTTTTAAATTTAGATAACAGGGTGCCAAGCTTAAAGTTCATACCTTCATATCACAGACTCATATTAATAACTCAGACTGAAACAGCAGTTAAAAGCTTAAATTTGGTGGAAAAACTCTGTTAACATCTGAGGAAGGTTTTTATTTTTGTAGAAGTTCAAGCTAACAGCATATGAGAGCAGGGCTATTCAAGAACAGAGAAATTTGTTCTCTTCCCTAGAGTTTCAAGAAGAAAATGACATTGTTTTTTAACATTTTAACATAATATTTTCTGTTCTTCTAACATGTCACATTTGCATCAGAAAGTGACTTGGATAGAAATCAATTGTTATTAACATTGAAGATTGAGGCAGATCGTATACCAAGCTCCCTCCAGGTATGACAGACTGGACAGTGTTCAGCATTTGAGGCTTCCATAACTGCCTGTTCAAAGCCAACCAGGTGTAAAAACCTAAATACTTTATTAGTGCATCAAATGAGAATCAGAAATAGTAGCTTTACTTTCTGGACCTCAGATTAATCCCAGCCTGCCCAGACATAATCCTGACATCAACATCTTCTAGTTGATGTTTATCAGAGTAATTTTGTTGCAACTTCATCTTCTTGATCAGAATTTGAACTAAAAATGTAACAAGAAGGCTGTTAATTCAAAAGTAAACTTCACTAAAACATACCATCACTCAGATGATTTGGTCCTGAAAGGTATAAAGCAGATCTGACTTTAGTCATGATGTCACCCAGCCAACAACTTATCTATCTGTTTTACACCAACACAACCAAGTTATCATGGTCCCAAACATCAGCCTTCGGTGAGTGTCATTGTCTCATTTTCCTCTGAGATCAAAGCGTCTCCAGTATTTGTGGAAATGTCTCCTGTTGGGTGGGCAGCAATCTGTTTCAAGAGGTTCTCAGATTGAAACAGTTCCTGGGTCCAAGCCTGACAGACTTCTTCTATTCCCAAACCCTCTCCTCCATACTCTGGAGGGAGAACATCTGGTGAGAAGAAGTCACTTAAAGTACGGTGAAAGTCTGTACCATGCATATGAACCTATGACAGAAAAAATACCATATACCTTAGGGTACATCCACAGTGGATGTTTGTGTGTAAACCAGAATGTAAGAAAATGGTTATTGTTAGCTCTGTGCTGTAGCAAATCATTGTGTGGAAGCGGGCAATGATGATGACTCTCACCCTCTGCTTGATCTTATCTGGTAGAAAGGGACGGATCATAGTGAAGACTGGACGGAAGAACATCGGCTCATTAACCAAATGAATTCCTCTCACTTTTAGTGGAAAAGAGTCCTGAACAAAGGATTGTACAATCACATTATTTGGTGCTGGACACAATAACATATAAACAGTAGTTAGAGTTGAGTCTTGGGTGTCATTTTCATCCCATGTCACCTTCATACCGAAAGCACAGAGGATATCTTTCTGGCAAGGGAAGGGTTAATCTGCAGGGCATGGCCCAGACTCCACCCCTTCAGGTCAAATATCGCCTTCAAACCTCGCCTCTGCGTCTCTGTCTCCCTGGAGATGATTTCTGATGTCATCAGGCTGACCCTGAACACCTGGAATGCTGACCAATCTTTTGGGTTCCATTGCCCTGCAGAAAGGACATGTAGCATTAGTTCTTTTGGATAAATGTAACTGCAAATAGGTGAGAGACAGAGTGCACACTGGGTCGGTCCCCATTTCATCACATGACAACACAAAGGCCAAGACCATGCACACATACACCCATCTACTAACACTGTAGAGCAGACAAAAACCTATCATGCCTTATTATGAAACGTGAAAGGGAGAAACTCAGAGAACTGAGTGACCCAGGCTGAGATTTGAGTAACATATGTTTCATTGTGCAGAATGAAACAAACATTGCTTAACTGGTCCAATGTCAACAAATAGTGTCTCCTCTAAAGCTTGACACAAACACTATTTCCTTTCTATTCTCTCCTGTACCAGGTTGAACCCCATATGTTGGATCAGAGTTTACATCCCAGCACCATAAAAATGTGTTTGTTAAGAGCAGGAGACCTGACTGGCCACAGAATAACCCCAACATGGCAAAAACAGCCTTTGGACAAATGTTATCTTTGTCCACATCAAAGATAACATTTACATTACATGACAGTAATGCAGGAGTTAACAGTGGCAAGACTTTTTGAGAATGTGATGCAGCACATACACAGGTGTTTAGATGCAGATGATTTTCAGATACGCTCTGCTGGGGATGCAGTTGCCACTAAATATGTC